AAGAACATATCTAGGATTAAAAGACTAATGTCACAGCAGGATTTGGAAAAACTTGTCCATGCTTTTATCTTCAGTAGACTAGACTACTGCAATGGTGTCTTTACAGGTCTCACTAAAAAATCTTTTAGAAAGCTGCAGCTGATTCAGAACGCCGCTGCTCGAGTCCTCACTAACACTAAGAAAGTGGATCACATCACTCCTTTACATGGTAAAGCAGCGTTTAGTTATTATGCTCCAAATATCTGGAACAAACTCCCAGAAACCTGCAGGTCCGCTGCAACTTACTACTTTTAAATCCAGGCTGAAGACTTTTCTTTTTGTCGCTGCTTTTAATTGAACTATTTATATCTTAGACAGCACTGTAACTTTTATCCATGTATTTTTTCTTTTAATGTTTATTTTTATTAACTTCTCTTTTTAATGACTGATTTTAATTGTCATTTTCTTAATGTCTTTCATTTTTTGTAAAGCACTCTGAATTGCCTTGTGTTGAAAAGTGCTATATACAGACTTGCCTTGCCTTGCCTTGCCTTGCCTTACATGAGCTTAACCATGCCTCTGATTCTGAATATTCAAATAATTTGTTCCAGAATAAAACTGAAACATTTTTGCTTTTAATAAAACCATAAAAATGAGTTGTTATGACTAGTAATGAGATGCGATGTCTCCACAGAAACATTCAGCAGAGAGGGTCGGGCAATCGACGGGCCATTCCGAGTATTTCCAAAAGTCGCGAGCAAGAGATCCGGAAGATTCTGCGAAGTAACCTGCAGAAGACCAGGCAGAGGGTATAGGACATCATTCATGACGTTGTTATGCAAAGAGTGACATTTAATGAGTTATCAGAAAGGTAATAAAATGTGATTCTGACGCTTTGTTTTTTTAATCTATTTTTGTCCTTAGCTTCGTTCATACAGTAGACACGACCTGATGATCGACCCGTTTGAGGACAACGTGAGTGAAGTCCGCTTCAGGAAGCAGCGGGTGGAGATGGAGAGGAGGGTGAGTCAAACAGCCTTGTCTACTTCTCCTAGAAGTATACTTGATTTTGAAAGCTCATTTAGGTCCTAAACCTGAAAATCACAGAGTTGACCTTTTCAAAGTCAATGCTCTTTATTTCATTTAATGATATACAGTGCATATATGGAAGATAAGCATCTCTGTCTCACCTTCAATTATTTAACAGTGTTCACATATTCTGGTTTCTTTTGGTTGCCATGGCTATTCTGGGACTTCTTTTTTAAGCCTTTAATTGATCTGTATCTAAAATGGTTTCTAACCTAATTTACAGATGGACCTATTGGTTGTAGTGGCTTGTTATGCTGGTGTAATTCCATTTACTAAGGATAAATGCTTTTATATACCTGAATGGCGTCCAAATGTCGCCTTTGTCATACGATTCAATTTGAATGAACAAACTAAAACCTAATGGCCATTCTTTTTAATTTAACATGTTGATGCATCATTCATTTTAACATTATGATTATGAACCTCTTTGTGTTATTCACAGATGAGTCACTACCTCACAGTTCCTACAAATCGCCAGGAAACACCGTCAGTGAGAAAAGTGTGCTTTGAACCAGGTCAGACTTTTCAATATATCTTTCGTAAATTATTAGTGGAATTAAATGTTGTAGTAATCTAGATCTGCAAAGTAACCTCAGCTTTCAAATAATGTAGTGGAGTAAAATAGTAAAACATTTACCTCGGAGGTGAAGTGGAAATGCATAGCCTCCCAAATGAAGGGAGCCGTAGGAGTGCCATCAAAGAATATGGAAAAGAAGAAGAAAATGGATATGGAAAAAAAAGAAATGAAAGAACAAAATGTTAAATACATTTGAAAAATGTAATAAAGAATAAAAAAAGTAAGCAAGAAAATTGCAATGTAAAGAAACAAATAAAATAAACGATGAAAATATATGAATATATAAAGACAAATATGAGATAATTATTATAAGCATTATATTGTATTTTTTTTAACATGAAAATGATTTGAGATTATATTTAATTATTTAAATGTTATGTCTTTTTATTTACTGCTGATATAATGTCTTTTATGGCACTCTTGTGACTCCATATAAATTAATCCTGACTAAAACCCAAACTTCTACAAGTATTTATGATTTATTAGCTGCTTGTAAAAAAAAATGTTAAGCAATAAATGATGTCACTGCACTTTGCATGTATCCCCCAGAACATCAGGTTTTCACCTATGACAACAGTGAGAGCCCCCGGGACCCGAGGGCTCGGCCAGACCCCGGCCCCCTTGATGCCATTAGCCTGGTGAGTGAATCCCAGGGGCCCAATCAGAGCCGCGAGCCGAGAGCCAAAGTGCCTGAGGAGCAGGAGGAGCAAGACCAACTAAAACTATCACGCTGCCTTAGTGACCCGGGGCCAAACCAGGAGGACGATCTCTCGTGATGAAGCACATATTCAACTTTCATTATGTCTTTGTTGTATTTAATGAGTGGAGATCAATGAATGGGAGTTGTAGCAAAGCTTGATATTTATGAAGTATTATTCTTTTCCATGTTATGTTTTTTTTTTATGAGATTATAAAAAAAAAGATTTTAATCATGTAACATATTACCAAATCATGCACCACTGACTATTTGCTATTTCAGGACTTAAATACAGCCTGAAGTTAGCAAAGGTTCACCATTTTGTGTCTTAACAAACAGATCAAATAGAGCACTTGTTTTGACAAGCTTGAAGCTCCAGATGGGTGGAGGTGACTCCCTCAAAGCACAGTATTAAGATGGATGATGTTACTATTACAGATATATCAGTGTTGCCATTTATCTAGAAAAATCTGCACAGAATTACCAAAGAAATGTTTGAGGTGAACGATGTTGTGCAAATTGTACAAAGTTTGACTTTGGCCGTGCTAGTGGCATTGCTTTAAAAATGTCAAACTAAAATAGGTTAACAAGTAGGCTACTTGCCAAAAATCTTGTGTAGACATTCATGTTCCCCAGAGGATGAATGCTCGTGACTTTTACTCTACTGCCATTATGAAGTTTACATTTTCTGAGTTGTGTTTGAAATACATCGGCCAATATTAAATGGTTTGCCATAAAATATCCTTTAGACATTCATGCTCCCTTTTAGGATGAATCTAAATGACTTAATTCCTTGTCTCATTTACCTGTCATAATCAACTCAATCTTTTAAAATACCTGCACAACTGAAATGTCCATTACATTTTGTGTTTAGTGCTTATCAGCAAATATTGACTAAAAGGGAAACATGGTAAACATTATATCATGTTACAAGGAGCATGTAGAGATGATATAGTGTTTACCTTGTTAGCGTGTTAGCATTTAGCTCAAAGCAATGTTGGACACACTTACGCCTGCATTATTCTAAAAAAACAGCTATCTAACAATGTTTTTTGTCATGTCACATAATCATTTAAAAACGGGGACACATCGAGACAGTCTCTCTTAGAAAACATTCATAATGTTACACTTTGTTGTGACATTAAATGAGAAGTAGTTGTGACAAGAATGAAGAAATGAGCATGCTAAGATATTATATTTACTTTCTTAGCGTGTTAGCATTTAGCTTAAAGCTATGTTGGACGCTCCTAGGGTTGGGGTATGCTTAAAAAGAACTAGCTTGTTTTTAGATGTTCTGACACATTATCATTTATAGAGGGGGATAACGTCACACATCAAGACAGTCTCTCCTAGAAACTGTTCATATTGATGTAGCCTACTTTCACATTAAAAGTGACAGAAGTAGTCGTGACAAGAATGAAAGAAGAGTGTTCATACCGCAGTTCTTTTTTAGCTCTGCCCAGCTGTTCAAAAACAGCATGAGATGGGTGTTAATGTCAAATATTTAATTTAGAAAGTTAGAAAAGTGTCACACACCCCCATGAATATGACATTGGAACGATGTGGGGGAATAGGGAGTTTCCGAAGCTACATTAGCATCTGCAGTTCAGATGAGATATAGCCTACTGCTGCATTTGGTCTTTATTTAACTCTGAAGTGTCCCCATTCTGGATACATCTTATTGAAATTCAAATGTCACATCAGTAAAAAAACAATTTGAGCAGATGGTGCCCTATCAATATAAAAAATGTCAAAATGCTCAAAGATTTGCCTCATAAATTCTTGATCGGACTATATTGTGTCTTAAAAACCTGCAAGAGGGTATATTCTTGTGTATTGAAGTGTCCTTTAGAAAGCACAAATCTGGTGATCCAGGAATATTAAACTTCAAGAATGAACTGCAGCAATATTGTTTTACCCAGGTCTCTGAACAAGATTACTTCACATCATGACTGATCAGTGTTTTTTCTCAGGGACTGCAACAAGACCCAGTATTACCAGATGGCCTTTGCAGAAAAAGTGTTAAACTGTCTACACATTGTGCCCCTATCGCCTCTATATTGTGACTGTTTGTAAACTGCAGTGTTGTTTAGCTTCAGAAACATTCCACAAGTAATTGACTTTCTCAATTTCCTTGTAACTAAGCTCGACATGTGTCTGTTCCTGGTAACTGAGCGTGCTTATAGGCTTTAATTGGGAAGTTAAGAGATTAATCATCTTCTCTGCACTGCCTGGGCTTTTGCTGCCTGCATGAATACCTTAAAATGTATTGCTTCCTGTGTGTTTCTCTGTTGTAGTATTTTTATATTTTGAAGGTGGACAATGATCTGAAGTATTGTATATTTGTCAAATGAAGGAAAGCTTTAATTCCTGTCTCAAATAAAGATATGTCATTGCTTAAGCTAAGTGATTTGAAGAAGAAGAAGATTCAACTTATTGTTATTACGTAGTACAGGTACTAGTAACGCAACGGTTTCTCTGCATTTGACCCATCCTAGTGTTAGGAGCAGTGGGCTGCCATTATGTACGGCGCCCAGGGAGCAGTGTAGGGAATGGTGCCTTGCTCAGGGACACCTCGGTAGCACTTGGTCTTTCCGGGACTTGAACTGGTGACCTACCAGTTGCCAAGCTGTCCCTATGGACTTCGCCACTGTTAGATTTTGTAAAAAGAAACATCCATTCAAGCATTTCCACATGCACCCTCCTGCCGTATTTCATTTATAAGTGAGTTATGTTGTTCAGCCCCTTGCCTCTCATTGGAAACTTGAGTCTAAATAACAGGGATTTGAAGTCCCCAACATGCCAACCAGCAGTGTGTGTGAGAGTTTGATAACTTGTACAACAAACATCTTTAGGCAAGCATCATGACCAGCAGCATGGATTTTTGCGGCACCTGGAAGGTTTATTCTGAGGAAAACCTTGAGGGTTTCTTAAAAGTCATGGGTCAGTATATTTTCATATTTAAAGAATGTATTTTCTTATGAATGCATACATCATATATTATTTTTCCTTTCAAGGTGCACCTGAAATGATTATCAAAATGCGAAAGGATGTCAAACCGGTGTTGGTGATTGAGCGGAAGGGCTCAGACTTCACCTACACCATGAAGACTCCCCTTGGCACCAGAGTTCACTCATTCAGGCTCGGCAAGGAGTCCGAGATGACCGTGGCGGATGGAAGGAAGTTTAAGGTAGTTCAAACGTTTAACTCTTCGTGCATCATGTGAGCTGATGATGTCAGAATTAAACCCTGAAAATCAGCATTAAGACTTTGTAGACTTGTGTCAGCATATTACAGTGAGGCTATAGTTTTTGTGCAATTTTAGGTAAAAATCCAGTTTTTTAAGCAGCTAGCAGTTAATGTAATCTGATTCATGAAAAGATATCAGAGATCAGAGACAATGCTATTTAAATGATGGACATCTAAGGCAGATTGATGGGGTTTTGATGGGAAGTAAAAGAAAAGCTTTAACTTACATTATACTGTTTTGGCATGTATTTGTTATTGATTGCTAAATCGCTGAGAATTAGATCATCATTTGTTTATTGCCATATAGGTTTTCACACACAAGGCCTTTTCTTAGTGTATAACTGTGCATACATAAACACAGTGAGAGAAAAAAAATTGTAATGGAAAAGAGAATAGAATATTTAGAAATATTTTAAAGACTTGTGAAACCTATTGAAGGATTAAACATGTAAACAAGAAATATAATGTACAAAAAAGGAAATACATACAAGTATATGACAAATGACTAACACACAATATGTAGCTATATCTGAAATAAAAGTGGATGCAGTGCATTGTTCTGTGATGTTATTGTTTAGTGATGTGCAATATCATGATAGATAAAAAAAAATGTATGATTGACCAGTGCACTGTCAGAGAGGAGAATGGGAAGCTGATCGCTGAAGCTGAAAAGTTCACTGCTGTCCGAGAGCTCCAAGGAGGCGACATGGTGGAAGTCAGTGGCCTTCATTATTTTACAAACCCAGGGATTCAGTGTTAGAAATAAACTTAGATTTAATGACACATGATCTTCAAAGAAAATTAAACAAATAAAGGAAGGTTTTTGCAATAGTTAAAGATGGATTTAACGGTTGCATTTTCTGTTGTTCTCTGTTTAATGCCACCAGTTTGTTACAACAAATCCTAATCCTGTATCCACTCAGCTATTCTTCCAGTTCACACTCATTTGGTCAGTTGTTTTTTTTAACATGAAATTGTTTCCTTTCTGTCTCTGCTTTGTCTCTGTTCCAGACTATCACTGCTGGCGATGTAACTTTCATCTGCAGAAGCAAACGAGCCTGATCCAGGCCTGAAGCTGAAGCTACTTTAAGCAGGGAACCATGTGGATAGCACATTGAAAATAAATAACTTTCATTCATAAATAATACCTTTATGAATACATTTGAATGATGAAATAAACCAAAGTGTGTGTTTTTATTCAGTGGTGGAAAGAAACTAAGTACATCAATCAAGTGCTAAATTAGAAATGTAAGCCGCTATACCATACCATTTTATGCTACTTTAGGCCTCTACTTCACGACATCACGACGGTTTCAGTTTTGTATTTACTTTTCATTTACAATATTTTGTCTTCAAAAAAATGTGTCTGTCCAGTGCAACACAAAGACTTTCAATTTCTTCTGTTAACTTAGTAATACTTATAGTTATGTTTTAAATACATCGCATTTACTAGACGTAGAAGAGTTTTCCTGTGTGGTTGCATTTATTTTTTCGACACCTTTTTTAAAAAAAAATAGAGAATTGATTGTTTCTGCCACAGCTGCAGGTGAACAGCAGAGGACGCTGGAGTTTTTTATTCCCCCTGTTTGTTTGAGAAGAAGAACCAAAAGGCGCCCTCCAACTGCGCATGCGCCCAACATATTTTCGCTGCAGCAGATTTTTCTTTCCTTTAAAAAAACATTTCTTCTGCATAGTGAGTGTAACTTTATGGCCAAATACATGAGGCCCCCATGCTCGTCTTTGTTCGTCAGAAACATCTCCGATGAGTCCAGGTGAGTCAACACTCGGAGAAAGTCAGCTATCAAGCGCTAACTTACTCATATTAACGGCAGCTAACTGACTTAGCTTAGCTGCTAACGTTAGCCTCCTCGCAGAAGCTTCAAGTTACGTTTAACCAACATGCAGAGGCGCTTTATGTGTGAAATATGTATTAGCTGCTGCTCATAGTTAGGCCAATCTGTAATAAGGTGTCTATGTTAATATGCCATATGTCGGTACTGTATATTTGTTTACATTTCGTTTCTGTTGCACGGTTCATGTGTATAAATTAGCTAACGTAAATAAAGCTACGCTAGCTTACTTATAAACAATAGTTCAGTAATATTACATGTTTTGGTGATTTTCAGGCAAAACAATTTAAACGTATTATTTAATATGGTTAAAAGTTGTTATCAAGCCCAACTAACCGCTATGTCACAAACCGTTATTTCAGTTAACCGTTATTCTTCTGAAGTCTGTTATGGTAAGTAACGTCTTTAGGGTTATACATTCATTCTTATTTCAATGACAGGTAGCATGAGCCAACGCACACACAAAATAAATTAAGCTTATTTGCTTTTTCCGTCCTCAAATATAAAATACATATAAAAAAATATAAAAACAGCAAGAAAAATTGAAAGGATAGGACAACAAAATTATGCATTTTCGTTTGTGTGACCTTTTCTGAAAAGTTTCTTCTGCAGCCTGCAAATCACCAAAACACTGTCAACGATTACCTTAATCTCTCACATCAACTAATGACTACAAATATCTCACTGTGTGCTGATCTCACACATTACAATACATAAAGGTAAATCCAAGTACTCCTCCAAAAAATCTAGTGTGAATGGAGCAACCGTCTCGACATGTCACTTTTTTAGACTTTTAGTGAGTTCTAACCTTGAATTTCATGCTAAAGAAAATAGTGTACACATCTTTAAGGTTCAGTTCACGCCAAAACACAACATAATTGTAAAACAAAAAGCAACCTCTAGAATAAATAAAGTTCCTAAGCTGCAGCCGAACTGAGAGCAATAACACAGAAACCTTGTGAACAGCTGGATCTGTCACCAGTTAAGAGGTCAGACAGATCCTTAGTGTTTTGGGGTGAACTGTCCCTATTGAGCCCTCTGAACAGCTGTTCTCCCAGCTGCTGCTGAGTGATGATATAGTTAGAGCTTCCTCTGATGGTCAGTTGAGTCATATTTTTATTTACGGTGTTCAGGCCTGAGGATTTGCGGCGTGAGTTTGGCCGCTATGGGCCTGTAGTAGATGTCTACATCCCACTTGACTTCCATACACGCCGACCAAGAGGATTTGCATACATTCAATATCCTTTCCCAATGAGTGTTTACTGTGTTGGTGCTCCTGCTAACAAAACATTTTAATTTCCTTTTCAGCTGAGAAGATGTGCTTTTTTGTGACATTATTTCATGTATTTCTTTTTGATTGAATATCTAACGCACTTATTTTTCTGTTATTGCTTCAGAAAATGTTAAAGCATCCAGTTGTGGAACCGGCCACAAAGAGTAACAAAGACCCGTGTAGAATAGCTGTAAAGACAAGTCTCACAGACCTTCAGGATCAGAGGGAGGGAAAAGGTTGAAAAGAGAAAGTAAAGCATGAAGAGGAAAAGGGAACGGAGACAAGGCTTGGATATGGCGGCAAAGAATTGGGAAAAGAAAAAGAGGTTAAAGAGGAAAAGGCAAGCAGCAGTCCAGAGTCTCTGTGGGAGTCGATTAAAGAGTGTAAAGATCAAAATGAAGTTCAAAGTCAAGCATGGGCAAAGGTAACAAGTCTGAATTATTTGTATCCTCACAAGACAAATTCACAAATCTGACAACAAAATCATCTTTCCTTGTGATATAAATGACATTTGTGTTTTCATTATGATCAAGAAATGTAATCAATTATTTAATGTATTTGATTTGTTTTGTATTTGTAGACCTGATCCCTCACAATGATTACATGTGTTTGAAAATGCTTCATCTTTTACCTCGACAAAAATTAACAGTGAGTGTATTTTGTTTGTTGTTTTTTCTCTTGCTAAACTATAATAAGAAATAATAGTTTGTGCTTTTTTCTTAAATGTTTTTGTGTTATAAGTCAGGCCATGCGAATTTAAAGAATGCCATTTTTGTTATAAAGAGAAAAAAAATAGTGATATAAAAGTTTATTTTCTTAAGTTATTACTTCATTGTGAAAAGAAGAAAACACTTTGAATTTGTGTGGCCTGACTAAAACTGTGATCAAAAGAAAACCCTTAACCACTCAGCATATTTGAGGATGTGCGTGATGCAGAGGACGCTCTTCACAGTCTGGACAGGAAGTGGGTTTGTGGCCGGCAGATTGAAATCCAGTTTGCCCAGGGTGACAGAAAGAGTAAGTGTTCAACTCTATTGTACCTTTTTATTTGTTGATTCCACCAAATACTGTAGACTTTTACAGAATGTGTTTTTGCAGTCAGAATTATTATTTTATTTTATCGGACATTTAGAATTAAAAAAAGTTGTTAATATCTTATGATATGTATTTATTGCACATGCTTACTTATTTGTTTTAATTTTTTTGTCTTTCATTGCTTTCATTCTAAAAATCGAACAACATTTACCAAACCTAATTTCCCCGGGATATAGAATGTTTTTTAAAATTCTGATACAGCATTACACAGTGGTACATTTACTGTATGATCACCTGAACAGCAATCATACAGCGTTTCTAAATGACTAAAAGAGATAGTAAATGTATTAATACTGACAGACCTAGATTGTAGGCATGAGTCAATGTACTACTGGCAGCACTGTAAAAGCTTAATGATAGCATAAAGACTAGCCTTATAGTGTAACAACGTCAGTAATAAACAAATACATTGAGCCTTTTGTTTTTTTCTCGGAAATGTAACCTTCTGATCACTGTATTTTTCCCCAGCACCAAATCAGATGAAGACAAAGGAGAGGCATTCTCCGGGCAGATCGTCTCGATACGACGACCACGATCGGGACAGCCGGCGCAGGCGTTCGCGTAGCCGCAGCAACGAGCGGTACAGATCACGCAGCCCCTCTTATGATCGCCATCGCAGGCGATCGGAGAGTCCTCGAGAGTGAGTTTCTCTCTGAGCAGTCTAAAACTTGTACTTACATGTTTCTTTAAAAGGAAATAAATCTATTCATGTCTGTGTTCAGATCTCGTGGACAGGTGTATGGCAGAGGAAGAAGCAGGAGTCGTGACAATGAGAGGTACATCTTCTTTGTCTTTATTTCCTACTTTCTTGATCATGCTGCTGTCTGTATTACTGTACAAATACACTTGCAAGATTTATTCTGGCAGACTTATGGTGAAGTGATACTGTTAGGTAGTGAAGTCAGAGGAAAAACTGAATGTACAGGACAGTTATCTTTAGTGCCTGGAAATGTAGTTAATCATAAGTGTCTTAGTCACTAGGGGTGTAACGGTTCACAAACATTTCGGTTCGGTACGTACCTCGGTTTTTAGGTCACGGTTCGGTTCGGTACGTTTTCGGTACAGCAGAAAAAATTATCGCAAAACATAAAATATATATATATATATATTTTATTATTATTAAACTGTGAATAATGTATTCACTCAAATAAATACAAAATATAATAAAAATAAACATTAAGGTGCAGCATTTCGATGAACTGAAATAATCTGTATTTGAACTTTACTGTACTAGTACTCACAAAACATAAACTATTAGTTTTGGGTTTTTAATTATTATTAAACTGTGAATATTCACTCAAATAAATAGAAAATATAATAAAATAAACATTAAGGTGCAGCATTTCGATGAACTGAAATAATCTGTATTTGAACTGTACTGTACTGGTACCTAAGCAGCCAGTTTGACATAATGACTTGCTTATCATTGTATTTTCATGTTTTTTTAAAGAAAAATTAACTTGTCCACATTGCTTGCCGAAAGGGCAGATCTGCTGGCACTAACAATGTCTCCTGCTGTGGAGAACACCCCTCTCTAGGGACAGAGGTAGCAGATACAGCCAGGTAGTGCTTTGCTAACATTGCAACATAAGGATATTTGGCGTTTGTAATAGCTTTGGCTCGGTCTGAACTTTTTGCGAGTGGTGGAGGCTTAAATGCTAGTGGGAGTTGGATATGCACTTCAGTCTTTTTTCTTTTGGTACCGGTGATTCACGTTCGGGATGTATTGCCAGCCGCGTAACCAATTTTAGTTGAACAATGCCAACAAACAGCTTCGGTTCGATCCACCCGACTTTGTCAGTCATCCTTGTACGTAACTGCAAAACCAAAATGTTCCCAAACTGGAGACTTCAATGATGCTGGAGGATTTTCGAGCTCAACTTTATCTGCGTTCGCCATTTCGACAGTTCCTCAAATTACTGACTACATTTGAACGCATCCCTCTGACCAGCTCTCATAGTATGCCTCTCGTCCGATGAAATGACTTGGTCGCTCTATGACGCGTTGAACCCAATGTGAGCAAATTACTCTGAATGCTGCGACGCAGCACCTGAGATCACTTCCAAGAAGTTGTTCACGTTCTCAATTTTTTACGTTTAACGTTATATTCGTTCGGTACACTTCGGTACACATGTGTACCGAACCGAAGGGCCCGTACCGAATAATTTCGGTACAGGTACGTGTACCGTTACACCCCTATTAGTCACGGGTCACAAACAATGTTAGGACTGATGGCTTCCTGAAGAATAGAGAGTAATATGGAGAGCTACGTGTTTGGTATAATGTTCCTGAATATTGTGAATTTATTGGGTCCAAAACAAAGATATGTTAATAGCAAATGTAATCGCAAAGAGTGCCTTATTGAAAATAGCTTCCCCTTAGTTAATGTGTGACTCAGGCTATTTTAGACTCAATGGCTCCCTATGGTCAAGTTGTTTCTATCCCTGCTATAGTATAATAGTACTGGGCTCTAAACGTTCTCATTGTGTCTTTAGATACCGGCAGAGACCTCGAAGAGAGTCCAGAGCGAGATCCCGCTCCAAATCTGCATCTCCACGAGAGAACGCCAACCCTTCATCGTCTTCCCATTACCCAGAGGAAGAAGTGCGACGGGCCCACTCCCCAACCCGCTCCAAGTCCCGCTCTGCTTCAAGATCACGTTCTCGTTCCCGGTCCCGATCCTGGGCCGGACGTAAGTCAGGAGGACGCTAGGAAAGTACCCCCCCCCCCCCTTTTATCCGCCGTTATGTCAGATGCACCTGAGTTGGTTCATTTGTCAAATGTTTGTTTTGACATGAATGTAACGTCCGCTGAAGCATTTGTAGAAAGCTTGTTTTCGCAGATCCCGTTTTAAGAAAAATGTCGGTCCTTCGCTTGCTTTTATAAAATTGTATTGGTGAGATTCCTCCCGATATAAATATGAAACAGGTTTCAGTGCTAGTCGCCCAGGAATAATTATCTTTTTTATATACTGTTACTGATCATTTTGTTTTCTAATCCCTATGCGTCAATTTTTTCAAAAAATAACATTCAGTATTTAAAATTTGAATCTGGTGACGAACCAAACCATCGTTTCTGTGTGTCTTAACGCAAATCATTTACTTTAAACTTGACTGCTGAACTGAGCAGTAGCGTCAAGTATGAAAGTACTGCGGGTAAAATACACAGATTCGCTGCTATGGTCCTAAAGTGTTAAGATGTCATCGACCATTGACGTTAAAATGTACATTAATCTGTTTAAATGTTGTGTGTTTTCTGTACGGTTTTCAAAAGGTATTATTTTTGGAACAAACGTTTTCTCTTGGTGTTTACTCGGCCGTGTTGATGGTTTTTCATTTAATCCCGTCACTGCATGTTTAATCTCCTAATCTTCTACCTTTATGATGAAGAAACTGTTATTTTCAGTAATAAATGGATAACGTTCAGAATAAGGAATCTGTGCTTGACTTCAGTTTGTAAACTCTGCTTGTACAGACAAATTGGTTTACTGTGTGTTTAATATTATAATGCCAAGCCATACTTTATTTATGAAAACAAAATAAAACGAGATGATAGAAAAGTGCTGGAATTTAGCACTGGCTCCCTCAACCAAAAAGTAAATTGTTGTGGCAAACACTGTGGCAAAAATATACACTTATGAAAAACACTTTGTATCTTAAATGCAATCACTGAATCTTCACGGTGAAGACAACCATATACAACCTAAACCATATTCACAGGACTTCACCTCCACTTGTCTTAACCCGGATTTTTATTTTGGCAATACAATTTAAACCCCAGGCTCCTCCAACAGTGCAAAATATAATATTAAAATGGATTTAAGAAAAATGTTATAATGCTATTGACATAATGGTGCTAGAAAGTTTCAGGGACAAATACAAAAATAAATGCATGAAATAGAATAAGATAAAACAAAATGTCCAATTAACTGTTATAACAAAAATGCAGTCTCATTTAGCTACTGTATAGCAACCACCCTTTTTAAGAAAATGGTTATCATCGGGAGTGGGGAATTCACTTACATTTTTAAGTCAGTGAACAAAACTTGAACATCTCTTAAGCTTGTGTTAACCCCAACTCTTACTACAGGTATTAAAGGTCACCTATCATGCAGAATGTACTTTTTTATGTCTTTTATACATAAATATGTGTCCCCGGTGTGTAAGGAGACTCAGAAAATACAACCCTCTCTCTTTTCCTCCGTACCCACATCTCTTTAAACAGGGGTATAACGGAGCTGATCCAGATTTTGTGCGGTCAAAACGACATCATTAAAATGTGGGCTGGCTTTACAATGAACTCCTGGCAGAGTTCCGCCCACGGCCCGACCTATCAGAAACGCTCCTCACACACCAGGGTTGCGGTCGGATAATCCAAAAATCAGCTCCTAACCATAGTCTATTCCTTGACCTCCGAGTGAAACGTCACGGGGTTAAGGGATAGTGGATAGGAGAATTCAGTAGAAATGACCATGTCATGGGACCTTTAAAGCTACGGACCCAGAATCAGCACTTTAGTAACAGGGCTGAAATAGAGGCCATTCTACAATGGGTGAGTGATCTGTTTGGTATTTTGAGCAAAACACTTCATAGACATGTTTTGTTTAGATATAATAATAATAATAATAATAATAATAATATTGGGAGGGATAAAACCCTCTTTAATGGTCACACAGGCAGTACACACAGTGACATTTGGCCTCTGCATTTAACCCATCCTAGTACCAGGAGTAGTGGGCAGCTATTGCACAGTGCCCGGGGAGCAATGAGTGGGGGGGTTGTCCGGTGCCTTGCTCGAGGGCACCACGGCAGGGCAGGAGGTGAACTTGGACCTCTCCAAGTAGCAGTCCACACTCCATATTTAGGTCTGGTCGTGGATCCTACGGCTCACAGTCCAAGACCCTACTGACTGAGCCATTGCCGGCCCTATAATATAATGTTCAAATATAGCATAATAGTTGAGCTTTAAACCAAAAGGTTTGTTGGATTCGACAAAGGGAACAGAAAGTGCAATTTCATCTCAGTGTTTTGAGATACATTTTTGCACAGAGTTTCCCCTCTTCTCTAACAGCCTGATGTGCAGTACTTGTTTTTGGTTGTATGAGAATAAGTTTGAACTTTTTGGGCGTCTGCATGGAAACCAGAACCAGTCCAGCCATGGACATTGATTTCCTTTAAATGGACCAGTGGCTGGGAAAAACAGCTTAAATTAGACTCACAGTGACGAGGCAACCATGTATGAAATCGGACGTGTCTCATTGATCACTGCATCGAAAAAAGGAACATTGATTAAACAAGTACAAACGCAGCATGGAGGCTTGAGGGGAGTCTGTCAGGAATAGCTGCTTTAAAGCAAAGGGTAGCTAACAAATACAGGACAAACGGAAGCAAGATAATGATTTATTTATACTGTAGTTATATCTGACAGATAAGAAGACGTACAAATGGAGGCTGAACAATAACAGAGTTAAGTTCTTAACTAAAGTTATACAAAAAGAAGGCCAATCTGTATTCTTGTGTTGTTGAACATCTGTGGATTTCCCATCCGCCGTTCTGTGTCAAAGAGCAAACGCACAGTGGGACTAGCCTGAATCAACTAGTCAATTGATCGTAAATATGTCTGCAATAATTCTGATTATTTACAAATGTAAGTCATTCTTTAAACATAAGTGTCATCTTAAAGGGACAATTCCCCCCACAATCAAAACGTTTTTTAAAATGTCCTTCCTATAGTGCTGTTTCTTAAACTAAATTGGTTAATTTTTTATCCGAGAGTGTTGGAGATATCAGTCTGATGTAAACATGAATGGCGTCCTCTGCTGAGCTTTATCTTTAGCAGTAAAGGAGCCCTTAGCTAAATGGACTGCATTTATGTAGCGCTTTATCCAGTCTTAATGACCCCTCAAAGCGCCTTTACATTCTACAAGTCCTCATTTACTCATTCATCACAACCCATACAGACTGGATACAAGGTTCCACCTGCCCAGAGAAACTAACATTCACACATTGTTGGCCAATCAGAGAAATGTAGGGTTAGGTATTGTTGATTGCAGGACCTGGGATCGGAATAGTTCAACTTATTTTCTGCTCACATCAAAATCTGTGGATAATCTTAAATTATCAGGTCATGATTACTGATTTAGTTTAATTATATTGGAAAGAAAAGCCATCAAGAAGGACATCTAGTTTGACCAATTAACCAATAATGTGTGACCCAGCCCAGGTCAAACCACCCACATTATCCAACACTGCAGTAGCAGACCTGTGGGCTGGATGTTAACTTCAGCTTCACTGCTCATTGCTGTGGCTCTATATAAGTACGGGATATCTAGCATTTCACCAATATTTCTATATAACGCTTCTAAAACCTCTCCTTTATGTATTTCATAATCCACCTTGAAGGCTCTCAGATGAAGATTCCCATCCCTGTGCATCCTGTTCTGTCCTATCTGCATTCCAACAAGTTCAGGGACACAAACCCCTTCAGCTCACCTCTAATGACTCGCAGGAACTGGCAGTCACTCCATTCATTCTGCTGCGAGGGAAATGGCAACACAGCATCACAACAGTATCGATTGAATTGTCTCTGACAGGCTATAAGTTGGCAGGGATCATTTGCTTTTGTCCAGTGGACGCTGTTTGCCAGTTTGTCCTTTGTTTAGAAGAGGATGCAGAAGATAGAAGATGTACTCGTAGGATTGTGTTCAGCAGCATTAAGGCCTTCGTTGTTACATTTCATATCCAAGATGATAGGTAAGGGAATTAATACTATTCTAATATCTTTGATGTTGTTAAATGTTCATTAAATGTTGGTTGGTGAAAAAATGGGCATATTAGGACATAGCAGGTTCATTTTTGGAAATATCCATCAAAAAGAACTTTCTAATCCCTGAGATTTTTCCAGAAGGTACAATCTTTTATATTGTATTAGATTATATTTGAAGATGTATGATAGAGTAGATCCAACCTTGGCCATCGTAGTATCTTGATCAAAATTCGTAAATATATATATATATTGTTATTTACAGAGCAATCAGACTTTTTTAACACCCAAATATCAACATTGGTATTGTCCCCAACATTTAAGTAATGGTTGGACTATAAACCTAATGATTTACCTTAATGAAGTCAATTATTCCCGTTATTCACAAAATACTAAATTACACTATTGTATACCTTCTACACTCTATAACAAAGTGTGTTAGTTTGTTATATAAACCACAAATCTAGGGTTTGGCTTCAAGATAGTTGGCCTATGATGTGTCTTTACAAAAAAATTATCACTTTCTGATTTAAAAAAAACCCAGTTAGCCATACCATAATCTCCCCCAAAAATCCATTATCTATTAGGCTTTACCTTGTTTGTTTTTACAGAACTGCTAATATAAAAAATGGGAGACTGGAACTTCCTCGGGGGGATTTTGGAGGAGGTGCACATCCACTCCACCATGGTCGGCAAGATCTGGCTGACCATCCTCTTCATATTCCGGATGTTGGTTCTGGGCGTGGCAGCGGAGGACGTGTGGAACGACGAGCAGTCGGACTTCATCTGCAACACGGACCAACCTGGCTGTCGAAACGTCTGCTACGACCAGGCCTTCCCCATTTCCCTCATCCGCTACTGGGTGCTGCAGGTCATCTTTGTGTCTTCCCCCTCCCTGGTGTACATGGGCCACGCCATCTACCAGCTGCGGGCTCTGGAGAAGGAGCGCCATTGCAAGAAGGTGGCTCTCCGCCGGGAGCTGGAGGCGGTGGACGTGGAGCTGGTGGAGGTGCGGAGGAGGATGGAGAAGGAGATGAAGCAGCTGGAGCAGGGGAAGCTCAACAAAGCCCCGCTGAGAGGCTCTCTGCTTTGCACCTACCTGGTCCACATTATGACCCGCTCCGTGGTGGAGGTCAGCTTCATGGTGGTGCAGTACTTTCTGTACGGAAACCGCCTGAAGCCTCTGTTCAAGTGTGAGAGGGAGCCATGCCCGAATGTGGTGGACTGCTTCGTGTCCAGGCCCACCGAGAAAACTGTGTTCATGATCTTCATGCAGAGCATCGCCTGCATCTCCCTCTTCCTCAGCATTCTGGAGATCATGCACCTGGGATTCAAGAAGCTCAAGAAGGGCATCCTGTCCTACTACCCTCATCTGAAAGACGACATGGACGATTATTACGTCGACAAGTCAAAGAAGAACTCTGTCGTGCATCAGGTTTGCATTGGCACATCTGCGGGTCGCAAGAGTGCCATCCCCACGGCACCATGCGGGTACACGTTGCTGTTGGAGAAGCAGGGCAATGGACCCACCTACCCTCTCCTGAATGCCTCCTCGGCCTTCGTCCCAATAAAAGGGGACCCGGTTGTAAAGCCGGACGGTCATAAGGACGGCAAGGAGGGGGTGCCGAGCCCCGCGGAGCAAAACAGCAACTCCAACAACACGAGCAGCGAGACGCGTTCCCCTCCTGCAGACAAACAGGAAGAGCCAGAGGAACCCAACCACGGAGACATGGAGTGTGCCGCCTCTGAGTACCCCACCCTCCCCGTAGCGGACCCCTCGTCCTGCGCAGCGCTGTCAGGCATTGTGAGGAAGTCTCGGAGGGTCAGTCCACCGTGGAACTGCTCCACTCTGGTGGAGGGGAACGGCTCGGACAGTGACTCCTACCACGGGAACAACAGCAGCGTGAAGCTCCGCAGCAGCTGCGTGGGACCCCGAGCTAGGATCCTCTCTAAATCCGACATTAAGAGGCCGAGCAGGTCTCAGAGCCCGGACTCTGCGGGGGAGCTGAGCTCAGTGTCCCGACACAGCAGGGAGAGTAACAGCCCCCCCGCCTCCTCTCCAAACCGCAGAGTGTCAGCGGCCAGCAGTGGCAGCAGCAGAAGAGCTCCAACTGATCTGCAAATATAAACCGTTTGCTCCGACATGGCGACACAAACTCTCAATAAGCCATGTGTGGATGCAAGTTGTTTGAACGCTATATTCCTGCACTTCACACAAAAACAGATGTCGTTTTTTGCCACTAGATCTCTCGATAAAAAATGTGACGAATTTGGTTGTGAAGTATCGATGGATCCTTGGAGTTTTTGTCTTCGCCAACATTACAGTGATTGCAGTCAGCTCCTCACGGACACGATTCGGCTTTTTTTTTATCATTCAGGAGGGGTTCACTGGAAGCCCAATTATCCGCAGAGCTTTCCTATTGTTCAAAACAAACGGACCCACTGAGAAAAACCAATGAAAAGACTTAATAAAGCAGTCTTACATTGAATCTGTGTTTGCAGTTTCTACAGTCAGGTTTGATGAACGTATTGGCTAACATTAGCTCAGTTTGTTTGAATTAAGATTCAGACGTCCACTGACTAAAATCCTTTATCCAATTCAAATACAGAGTTGAAAGAAGCAGATCTACACAGTGTATTGGAAAAATTATGCTTCAACTGGACAGGACCGGACTGGCCATCGGGAGGACCGGGAGGTTTCCCGATGGCCTGGCCTGTTAAGTGGCCTGCTGGCCTGAGGAATCTTTTTTTTTATGTATGTATTGTGAACGCAACGCTGCGAAAATGTGGGTCTGCCTCACAGAGGGTGACTGGCTGTCTACATGAGTGGCCTGCCGACATGGCCACTTTCATACAGATCATACACTAATGCCCTCGATTGGTCTCTGTGTGTCATTCAAGCTCGGGAGGGTGTGCATGTGTGGCGAGAGAGAAAGCGCGCGCACCGGTTACGTGTATTGTTGTTGTTAGCATCTGGTGCTATCTAGCTGCGCTAACGGATATAATGAGCTGTCAACAAGGTGGAGGAGAGTCCTCTCCTGTCAGACTGAGAGGCTGATAACTACAGCTCAGGTGAGGTAAAGGACTCTTGAGTGTTTAGATAGTTAACTTAGTCTAAGTTCTCTGTGGGTCTCAAGCGGTTTGGTCACCATTTATGTAAACACATATTTCCATTTGAAGGGGGAGTGATTTGTAAAATATGCATGAATAATAAATACAAAAATGTTAACTAGGTGAAAAAAGGTAAGAGAAACTTTAAAAACTTGTTGAGAGCTAAAACTAGTCTTTGCTGCTGCCTCAAAGAGGAGCAGGGGGGAGACGGGTGAGGCTGGTTCAGGTGCCCAGACACACTCACAACTATAAATGAACCAAAAACAAATAAATAAACAAGTTTCAATGTTTTTTCTAATTGGATATGGTATGTTATTGGTTATGGCCATGTTCTTATGATTTTATGATTATTTAAATGTATACAGTTCTGTTTCATATGGGTTTAGTCTCTCTTTATTTCCCCCTCAAAGTGCACCAGATTGATGCATTTAAGTCCAACATTTAAAAAAAAAAAAATTCTTACTGGGGGAGCATGCCCCCGGACCCCCCTAGAGGATTTGAGGTCCACCTCCATTTAAAATATGTTCACATGGATAGGTTCCTAAATAGATTTGCACTTTTTTTTAAATAGTATCCCACGTCCATATGTTGTATCAAGTTGTATCAGTGTCCTTTGCTGTGAAGCGCTTCGAGATTTGTCTAGGCAGATGAGAAGCGCTATATAAATTAAATGTATTATTATTATGTTTATTCTGGGGTAGTAGATTTAAAGTTTAGGGCCATCACTATGGGCAGCAACGCTGTAAATATTGACAAATAAATCCAGGAAAATGGCACAAAAGAAAACTGGTAGTGGCCTGGCTGGGTGTATAATTCCCGGCCTGACTTATTGTCCCAGTCCGGCCCTGCAACTGGATAAAAAGTATATTTATGACAGCTTCTGAAAAAAACTGACGCATGCAAAAATCGGATTATGACGCCATTACAGATGCGGCAAACAGACCGTTACCTTGAAAAAAAAACGATTTCTTAAGGTTTCAACATTTTTTGGAAGCATTTGTGATAACTTAAGTACACAACTAAACATTTTCATTTGGGAATGTTATGTATTATACCCCTGAGAGACATTTAACAAGAGGAAAAAAAGCCTTTGTTACCCATTTAGGAGATTGCAGTTATTAGACCAATGAAAAGCCTTTACATTTTGGGTCAGATTACAATGGAATGTTTTGTTTTGTTACGTCAATAGGTCTGTTACAGATATTAAATGGACATTTAATGATTTGATTATACGCAGCAGCTCTGTCTGAATGATTAGAGGGCAGTGGAAAACTGAAACACAAATCTATAAGTTGTTTCAGGTCACAATGTGCCGTTACACAACGGGATACTTTTAAAATCGTTGATGCTGTCAGATTGAATCAAACTCAGGCAGAAGGAACATTCAACAAAATGTCACAATGAAGTGCTAAATATATTTGTAGTGACAATGATAAAAAATGCATCATTTATCAGACTTTAATTTCCCTTCACACATAAATTGCGACCTCTGACTTATATATTTTGTATGACCCCTTTTTTCTTAGCAAAGCATTCTAATATCATTAACATATTT